TCTAAAACTTTACTGCTGTTCCTGTGGAGATGATACCAAAAAATATAGTAGTCAAGTCGGAAAATTTTTTAATTACCCTTTTGATACTTTCGTATAAGTAAAGGAAGGAGGCTCACAAATTAAAAATTGCTGTTTCGTACTAATATATATTTGCGGAGTTGCAAGGAATAAAAGCCTTAATAGCCGCTCTAGAAAGCTATTGAATCCAAAACGCAGCCTGAAAGAAGAACGAATACGAAACTAAAACTATACGAACCAAATTTTAAAATATTAGTTGAGTACAAGTTTATTTATTTTTTAATGGCCTTTTTTTATTTTTACACACCGAAGCCCTTACAATGCAATTTTTTTATTTATCAAGACAATTTTTTGCCAAATTAAGCTTTTACTCATATCCAGGCTTGCGAAAATAGAATACAGGAAGTCTGATCAAAATGAGTCATGAGTGAACGAAGATTAAGAAAACGCTGTTTCACAATACATTGATAAGTGACTTCATTTTATCATGGTAATACATTCAGCGTAATAAAATACTCTATTACTCTTGAAATCTGATATCATTCAACGAAAACCAACTTTCAGTGCACCATCATTGAAATTACTTCATAAACAGAGTTAGAACCTCAAGCTTTGAAACATATCAGACGTACTGCAAAACTGCGTTATGTAATCGAAGAATGTTACGAGATAAACAGACAGATAGCAGTACTAATCAAAATTCAAGCAATGTAAATAACTTAAAAACCATTATATAAAATAGTTCATGCACATCAGCAAGTATGCGCGAATATCTCCACTAATTTAACAGTGAATATTAATATGGATGACGTGTCTGAAAAAGAAAGTACCCAGCTGACTTCAGGCTCTGCCTAGACCTGAATTGCAAGTGTAATGCTACCCAATGCCCATCCCCATAAGTGGCTGCACAAACTAACTGCTTTAAATACGTGTATTTAAATGTAAATGTCGCGTCGGATGTACTGAACAGTCAAAGGACAATATCTTAGAATATGTATGCAAAATCATATGTACAGTACAGTCTGCGCATACCGCAGTGACATAGCAAGATGCTCCTATGAACAGTAGAAATGTATACTCACATGCCCCGCCATGTCAGACATCCTAACCTCATTTGCATAACTGCCAGAGCAATTATATTGCTCAATATGTATCAAAATCTAATGTCACGTTGGACATATAAAAAACACTGCTGAATCCGAACGCTGCACAAACTGTAAATGTAATACCACGTAACGCAAGTGTAACGTCATTTCTGAATAGTAATGTAATGTAAAGTCATATGCAATGTTGTATCGAATTACCGTAACATAATATAGAAAATACTTACAAGTACCGCATTATATGCAAATACTTGTCATAAATAAGTATCTATGTGCCTGTACAAAAAGTCTCACAGGTACAGCAGGACCCTCAGATGCCTTGAGCACCTATAATGTCTATATATCAGGTCTGCCTGTACGCCATCCTGAAACTCAATCACATAAAAGCAAGAGCAAATATAGTGTTATAAATGTGTTCTATATGCAATGTTGCTCCTGACAATGTATTTACAGAGTTGAATCTGCATAATGTAATTCGTAAATGTAATGTCAATAATGGTAATGTAATACCACTATTATCTCATATCTCATATATAATGTCAATGCCGTATCGCATAGTGTCTATATGACATGCAATGTCATAATTATGTAAATATGTATATGCACAGCACTATTTATAAGTGCACTGAAGTAATTTAGTTGCAACCGCCTTCTGCACACGCCTTCTGTAGTGCATATGTACTAGCCCTGCATGAAAGCTCTCCCAAGTTCATTTTCGTAATTACAGGAATAATTATTATGTTCTATATGTACCTATATGCAATCTCTAGCCAACTTTAGATAAGGGTGGACGTGGTGCTGTACTGATTAATCTTTACGGCAAAGGGACAGTGCCCACGTCCACCGTCACTTATCACTTATCACTTAACATATGTCCATAAAATTGTTGAAGACATCATTTTGCGGTGAGTACAATAAAAAAAAAAGCCAACTCGACGGAAAGCTGGTGTATATTCAGATATCATCACCATGGTGTCAAAGGGGGTGCGTCAGAGTCTGCAAAACGCGAGGAGTCCGTGTGCGAAGTTTAGGGCAATTTAAAAAGAAGAAAGGAGGGCGCGTTTTTAGGCATTCTTCTGTAAGTGAAAGTGAAATTGCACGTGCAGTATAGCCATAGGAGAACAATGGAACGCCTTTTTTTATACGTGGTAAAATGATTGGCAAACTTCATGTGGGATACAATTTGATGTCTGTCGCCTAAGAGTTTCAACTGATAAAGTCTTGTTTCACATGCTTAGAAAGCCGATACATACAAGTGCATGAAAACTTAGTGGTAGTTGGCCAAGGAGAAAAACGATGACTAATGACCGATATATCGCCTTATGAACGAAAAGAGATAGAAAACAAATAGTGAATAACATTGCTCAGGAGTTGCGCATGGCAACCGCCAGTAAGTATCCCTGTCTAATGTAGCCAGACGACTTCATAAAGTTGGTATGTTCACCAGCCGTCCTGAACGCATCAGACCATTGACAGTAGCCCAACGGCGATACCATTTACAGTAGTGTAGAGAGCATAAAGATTGAATACCTAAACAATGGAGTCACGTTCTCTTTACCGATGACAATCGTTTCATTCTGGCAAACGATTCTCGGTGCCACTTGATGTGGAAAGAGATAGGACATGTTTGGCGCAGTTTCTCCGTACTGTATACATCCTATTCATTTTTTTGCCACTATACTTTACTCATCCTTTAAGTACTTCATTGTGCCTCTGTAAAATGAATTTCATGACCCCCAGTTGATCTTTTGTGGAATTACAGCCCAAATCAGAAAAGTTACTTAAGATTTTAAGTTTTACACACTAGCCTATTTTGAAATCTACGAGACTGGATTGGCTGCCTAAAGTTTCTGCGACTTCCCTCTTCCACCACCGCGCACAATGTTAAAACGAGAATGTTTCTATTAGAAAGCTCCCAACGAAGCCGTCCGTCTTTCAAGATAGAAAACTTTAGTGTTCTTTGTCTTCACCTTCTTTATTCAACAAACCAATAAGTTCTAATTGAGAAATTTTAACATTCTGCTGCTTATAATTTACTTGAGAAATGCATGATTTTTTTTTTCTCTGGTTAATGCTGAGTAAGATAAAGAACACAAGGTTTGCCTCCCTACAAGAACTTACGTTTTTGTAATTTCGCTCTCAGCATTTCTTTTTTGTAATATATTTAAGCACTTTTAAAATTTACAAGCTGTAGTATATTTATGCCACAAAATAATTAACACATCTTGCGCAGGTGTTTTTCCACCAAAACTGGTGATCTTTTGCAATCAAATTACTTCTGCACAGTTTAGCTATAGTGCCAGGTCTTCTACAATATACGAAATCTGCTTCGTCTTACGCACTTGTCTCAAAAGAAGAATAAGCCCCATAGTTTTCTTCATGTCTTGTATTGTAATGTCTTTCCATTTGAGGGCTTTCTAGGAAGTTGTGAATTTATCAATATTTTGGTAATAATATTAATTTGACTACTCTACAAGAAATCTAAAAAAAATCATCGTCATTAAAATTAAATCAAACTATAGCGTGCGCTACACTATTCGGAGCGTTTTCTGTGTTTATTTCTCAGCGACCTAAAATTTCTTCCAAGAACGGGGGGGGGGGGTAGGGGGGGAGTGTTTACTGACTACCCATTCTCCTTTAGAATGAAAATCATCCGAAATCAGCCTTAAATCAGAACTGCTTGAAATTCTTCATCGGATAGTAATCCTAAGATAATGCAATAATGCATAATATCGTCATCACTGGAATCATCAATCGATAACCTCATCCCCGCAATCCGACAAAATTATCTGCACACGATTCTTCACCATCACCTTCTATTTTATTATTGTATATCCTTAGGAATTTACTGTAAAAAAAGTTAGATTAGGCTGCGAACACACGATCGCTCCATCGATGCTCCTAGCAATGAAGTTCAATTATGCGGACGTACTTGTGGACAACGTACGAGCAGCGTGCGCTTGGTGAAATTGTCGGGTGTACAGAACGCTCATCTTCCCAGATTTATGTCAATGTATAACTGGAAGCTCCGGTATTTAATCCTACGTTCGTCGCAGCATAACAGAGTTAGCAAAGCGCATTCATAGGAATGCCTTTTTACAATTCCTGTTTTCACGTTGAAATGTACGGGCGTCGACCTAGCGCTCATGTGTACCCGACCTTATTGTACAAACATTAAAAAAGTCCACCGATAACAATAATCCACCAATAATTCGTAGAAAACGACTTATTCTCATGACTAAAAAGGACTCTTCAGTCATTTATGTCTCATCACTAAAAATGTCCACGAGAAAATACTCTACCTTAACAGCATCACCCTGATACACTCCGACCTATTGTCGAATGCGCTGTTTTGTGCTTTCAACTCGCAGCAGAATACAGCAGACGGAAAATTAAACATTTCTTATGACCACAGTGGCCACTTGGATGTTTCGTGGCCTTATTTTTGTAATGTTTCAATGAGTTCTTGAATCATGTATTGTTAGTCGAATTGTTATTTTTCCATAGTTTATTGTCTCCCTTCGGATAACAAAACTTCTGTATTAAACTGGAACAGCACCATCTATAGGAGCCTTATAAAAGTTCCTTCCTTCCATATATAAATTTTCACTGCTTCGCAAATATTCAGATTGAATTTCAGGTCAATCTGGCCAGTGGTTCATACTTTACAGAGTTTTGAAGTCAGAACTTTAGCTATAATCACAATGAGATACTGCATTCTCAAATTCAAGTATTATATGTTTATGTACATAATAAGTGCTTTGTTAGAATAGATTATTTGCTGTGATTGAGAAAAATCTTTCATTGTAGTTAAAATTGAGAATATACAACTATTTAATAAGAATATCCTTTTTAAAATGAAAGTGGAAAATAACGTACCTCAGATGCCAGCGCTTGAATGTGCCTGTTCGAACAGATGCAGTGAAATATTCTTTCTCTGTTCTCGCTTTCGCATTTTTGGGAGTTTTCCAATCGTAAAAGACGATCATCATTCCAGCTCGCACAAAAGTGGCAATCCATTGAAAAATGGTAGTCGCCTAACAAACAAAAGAAAATTTTTTCATTATACGCCAATATGTAAACATACTTACTCACAAAGTGTGGGTGTATATAAATGTATAATGTATATTATGTACATACACACACACATATATCCGCCCAATATTCCCTGTTTATATCTAGCTATCTATTTATTTATCTATATACATACACGCATACCTTATTTATATAGATAAGTAGATAGATAAATGTAGGTGCTGGAAAATTAATATTATGGTAAAAAAATAAAACTTCTTAAATCTAATCATTTTATTCATAAACATTTTAAATAATGGACACGAAATCATTACCAACATATGTCCCAAATACAGATTTTTACGAATTCAAAATAAGACAATACAAATCCTTAGAAAAGCTAGTCTTCATTAGGTCCCATATGCCATGCCACCAAAAATGTGATAAATAAACTACATTTTCGACAAAGGGATTGTTTGGGGTACATTTAACATGTTTCATTTGCCATAATTTGAGACAACATAACAGTCAATTTAATTTTTCTTACTTTCAGAAGCGAATGTATGCAATGGAGCAGCATTTTAAGTTCCAAGAGTTTGAATTTTGAAGGCAAAGCTATTTCCAGGTTGTACATTACTTGGATTTTAATCGGGAACGTTGGGTAGGAATGATTGCCGGACAATGGACAGTATCTTGCATCTCTTGGCATAATAATCATCAGACTGATACTTTTCTGGCCTACATATTTCAGACCCAGTATTTTACGTAAACATGATATACTTTAGTTATCAAAATTATAGAAATTTAATGGAAAATGTGCGTTTTTAAAATTCAACTGCTTATAACTTTGTAGAGACATTAGGTTAATTGGAAGCAGGCAATATGAAAAATGAGCAAACGCCTTCGCCGGGAATCGAACTACAGACCTCTGGAATACCGGCCCAGTGTGCTGACCACTACACCACGAAGGCACGCTAGGAAGGCGGGAGAAATACCTTATAACTTTATTACTTTGAAAGAAAATTCTACGAAATTGCGCATCATTGGAAAACAATTTTTATACAAAATATAATGCAGCTGACCCTAAAGAATTATCTTTATTATTTAAAGTAATACAGTTAAACGATGTAGAAGGATAACAACACTGCCTTATATAAAGACAGGAGATTTTTTATTCGAAATTGAGAGTCGGTTAGATACTGCGATACCATAAAATAGATCCAATAAAGTTCGCATCATTTGCTTTAAGAATAAATAATAAAACAGCTTTTTTAAATAATCGACAGCCAATAAGTTGGTTGATAATTTGCGTGCATTTTCTTTTTATTGTAAACTTATTAAGTAAGTTTATAACGAAATTATGAGGAAAGTACGTAGAAATATAGCTGATGAAGGAATTTCTAAGCCGTGGAAGTAAGTATAAGTAAATTCGGTTACTTAAAATTAAATTTATAAGGTTAAGAAAGTTCCAAAATAAAATGCTGGACAATTAAAAAACTATTTGAGTCATGGAAATGATGTGAGCCGAGAGGAATTATTTTCGCGACTATGGTTTAAATGAAGCTGACAGGGTTGTTAGATGTAGACTTTGGCATTTTCGCTTAAATGCCGAAATTTAAAAAAATACATAAATAAATCTTTTTCTTAAGTTTATTTATTAAATATATAAAAGGTCAAAAAAATTACTATAGGCTAAAATCACATTAAATCCAAAGAAGAACAACGGAATAAAATTATTCGGAGTAACTAAATGGAACATTCACATTTGACAGTGATGGAATGAATCATATAAGAAGAATTAGAGATGATTTATTGCTTAAATACAAAACATTCGCTATGAAGCATTTATTTAGTTCTTCATAGTAATTATTTTTCATGCTATAAGAATAGAGGAGCAAGCAGCCAGCCCACCTGGCCACGAAGTTGCCTTATGACATGAAACTGGCTGTCTGTAGTAAATGCTGTAAGGATATACGACAGAAAAACAGTTTGAGATAATCAAGGCATTTTAAACAGTGCTGTATACATGAATGAACTATAAAATCAGAATCAATACTGTCTGTTCCTGATTTTTCCTGATATAATAAAAACATTCATGATTAGCAGCACTCTGCGGCTTATCATGTATGTATTCAGTACAAGAAGTGCATTTTGAGAAAATGATAATGCGTTTCAAGAATAGCCAAGCCATGTTCTAAGCCCAACCGAAAAATTCTGAAGCCGATTAAAGAAGTCTAATGATCAGACCCAAATATAAAATAAAGTAACAGAGTTACTCAATCATGGTATGTAGTTCAGCCCCTGGGATATTTACTGTTAGGCTGTAGTTTCAGAAAAAGCTTCCTAACAAATAAAAAGCGGAAAATTCAGAAATTAAGAAATTTCCTTTCTTACAGTTCAGTACGCGTACCTTTTAAAAAAAGGTCAAGTGCTTTCATAAAATTATTTTCTAAATCAAAGAATCATTATAATGATATTTGTTTTTAGCATAATGCTATTTTTGTGGCTAATCTCAATTATCTGACCTAATCAGAATAACGCCACGAATTTTACTGTGGCAAGATTACGTGCGTCATTCGCATCAGCCTTGAACACCATGAGGTAACAAAATTCTTTTGGCCAGATCAGCACCAATTTTGAAGGAAAGCACCCCAGGGTACAGGCCCGAGGGTCTTTCACTCATCTTCTTTTAATACAAAACTATTCGAGAGGACTTTTGACTCGAGGGTATCCCCATGCCGCAAAGATACTATACATTTACAAACATCCATGCCTTCCCCTAGATTCGAACCCGAGTCATTCGGTACTATCCCGTCTAGTCTGCATTACTAACTACTATCCCGTCTAGGTGGCAGCATAATGCTAAAATGACTTAGTTTTATTGTCTGTAAGCTTCAGAAAACATTTCCACGACTTCATGTATTTTGGATTCTTTACTCTGAATTCAAGACATATCCATCATCGTGGTATAGCAGGCTTTTATTTTATCTAAAGGGAAGCAACAATATATTTGCGTACAATAATTCCAGGTGATATTAACCTGTGCTCGTGTATTACGGATGTCATGCCCGTTACAGTATGCAAATTACACTCGCTGCTCATTTTCAGTATTTATCAAATCACAGTAAAACTATAAATAACCGGAGTAATTGACATTACAACGTAACTGAATACTCTAAAAATCTACATAATTGGACGGTCTTTTTTTCCTGTAAAAGAAATAAGTATCAACTGTAATTCAAATGCACTTTTTCGCTTATCATACTTTATTTCAATTAAGATTACATAGTTGAAAAAATAAAATATTTTTATCCCATAAATTAAAACACAACGCATATTGATGCGTGATTCAGATTTTAACGTTGCACCAGAGTGTTTGTTAAGGTTCTTTATGCTCTCGCTTAGACGCAGCCCATTGAAGGCAGGCTCCGGAGTTTCAGTTTTTAAGATAAATCTCACTTCTAACCGGAGCGCACCAGAGCCCTAAATAAGAGAAGCTGCAGAGTATCATTTATGAAACTGAGCCACAATGTCAGCAGAAAATTTTGATGTCGTAAAATTGTATTTTAATAATACGTAAGCCTTAAAAAAGAGAGGAGCTTGAGACTTTCAAGGAAAGACAAACCTCCACATCAAAGTTTTATTCTCAAGGAAGTGCAATAAAGTGAAAGGTTGTTTGAGACCTGGTACATTTTTGGTCTTGAAAGTACTAGAAATGATCAGGCTAGTCATGTCTTCGTATTCGTTGATTCCGTTTTCGGGTATTCTTTGTTTTGGGGGTTTTGGCACAACGGGAGAGAGTGAAATGGGCATAGTGAAATAGTACTTAGGCAAATGGCTCAGACACGTTCGCCGCTTTTGACTGCCAACTGAAAAGATCACCTGTAGAATCTTTCGAAACGATATAACCAAATATGGCGATGAAAATGGTAACACTTATACAGAATTTTCTTTTTACTCTCAGTTTACTGTTCAGCCGTCAGATTCGGAGGCAATTTGTTTTCCCATTTTTTTGTTTACATTCTGCTCGACAGCTAGAATTATATCGGCAGGCCATCGTGTTCAGAATGTGTTAGGCTCTTCTCATTTTGTTTCGTACATAATTTAAACATTAATTTTTTTTTAAATTTTCTTCCATACTCTCATACCCTTTCTTTTAGAGAATGGTGGACGTGGCGCTAAACCGATTAACCACAATGGTAGAGGAATGATGCTCACGTTCCCCGTCACTCACTCACTCTCATACCCTTTCTAGTATTTTAGCTATTCTCATTAGTAATGTTTTAATCATTTTGCTTTCATAATGCGGTAGAAAAACAATGTTAATGATTTTATCATTCCTTGAAACATTACATTATTGTTGTAGATTCAGGGCTTACATTCAGTCCTAAGCCATCCCCTGTTTCTTAAATTTTGAACGACATTTGAATTCAAGCTGAGCTCCCCAAATAAAAGGAGATCCGGAATTTTATTTTATTTTTTATTTACACTTTCCTATTTCATTCAATTTTAAACATTTTATTATTTTAATAATGAAATATTTTATTTATTTACTTTTTCTTCGTCTTTTCTGATTGCCTTCCACAGGGTTCTGGCGCTTCTAATTTTAGAAACTAAGCCCTGCTCTCGCTGAGCATCGCAGGTTACAAATCTGCTCTTGTACTCACTGCTGCTAACACAGTTTTTGCGTCTTTTTAGCTGTATTAAACATCGCTTCGCGCCCGCGCCACATGCAGTTCAACAGCAAAATCACAAAATTTTTAAAAGCAGCATTACATCATATATATCAAAATTCTGATGATTTTTCATCTTTTCTGCTTCCAAATTATCTAATGTCTCTACATTGGCGCCCGAACTAGAAGGGTGTTGGATGATGATTCTCCTCACCCAGGATTTGGCGATTGGGTCTCCTAAAACCCCAGTCGCCCTTTAAAAGGGGAAGTATATAAGGTATTTCTCCCGCCTTCTTGGCATGCCTTCGTGGTGTGGTGGTCTGCACGCTGGGCGAGTATTCCAGAGGTCC